CTGAAAATTCTCATTTTTTCGTGCCTCTGACTACCCCTAACCCCTTAATACAACGAAAAGTCCTTTACGCCTATATGATAAGTTTTTTTTCCGTATGATTTTTTAATTCTTGACAATCAAGTTTTTTACTTTAATAAAATTTTTTTTCCTTTTTCTGTTGCTATCATTTACTCATATATCTTACTTTTTTCTAATATTTTGTAGTTATATTCAATATTTATCACTTTTTTTAGTATTTGTTTGAGTTCTAGCATTTTTATCTGTTTGCTGTTTTTTATTTTATTATTTCTTATTATTTGTCTGAATATAAATATTTAAAATTTATCATTAATTACTGTTCAAAATAAAAACGTGGGAATCCCATATAGGTTCCTATATGTATAGGAACCAATATAGGTTCTTATGTATAGGAATTAATATAATGAAATGTCTTTTAACTTGTAAAAATAGTTGTTTGCGTATACTCATCTTTTATTTTGAGATTATATATTTCTATATAGAATTTTAATCCTATTATTTTTAATCTATTTATTATTGTCTTTTATTATAATATTTATTGTTTTTATCTCTTAGTATAAAATTATTTAGATTTTTTATGAAATTTGTACTAAAAATAGCCATGTAGAGATCCTATACATATAGGTTTAATGGAAAGGGATTAGTGTGAAATTTTCTTTATTTAACTTTAAAATTTATAGTTGTTTACAGCTAAATAAATTTTTGCTATAAACAATTAAATTTTTTTTCTCTCCATTTGTTGTGATTTACTTTATAGCTTTCTTTAGAAAGAATTATTTTTCATATTGATTATCTTTGTTCGTCAGTTCTTCAATATTTTTTAGTTTGAAAATCTAAAATAAGCACGCGTATTCCAGTTTTGAGATTCGACTTTCACGTGCCATGTCTTTTTTTAGGGACAATAGATGATTTTCTATACAGCTTATATTCTATACTTAGTAAAAAAGTAAATAAATAAATAAAAAAGTAAATCTAACTACATAATGAAAAACACGGAGATAATCGATTAAAACTGTCTTTAAATAGGTATTAACTTTTTTTTACAAAAAACATTGTATATTCTGTTTTTGTAGAAAAGGTTAATTTTACTAATAGTTTTCATCAATTGAATACCCGGATCAAATATGTCGACTGACGTTCGGACGCACGCTCTAATGGTAGTCGGGTAGCAGTGAGCCGCCCACAGGCTGTCACTGCTACTTGACTGGTAATAGAGCGTTCGTCCGAGCGTCGGTCGACATATTTGATCCGGGTATTCAATTATATCAGTGTTTTTGATTATGTAGTTATAGAGACTTTCAGGCCTCGGACTCATGCCACTTTTTTAAAAAAAATGCCACTAAAGACACTTTTTTTCTACTCAGATATTTAAGGGAATGCATCGGTGAAATTTTAACTCATCGAAATCATTGTTGTTTAGGGTCGTCAATTTTTTTTCCGGCAATATTGAGTATCTAAAATTATAATATACTCTAAAAAATTAAAAAAAACTTTAAACTTGTTAATAATTTATTCAATAAACTTCAATATTGAGTATCTAAAATTATAATATACTCTAAAAAATTAAAAAAAACTTTAAACTTGTTAATAATTTATTCAATAAACTTCAAAAATCTTAAAAAATTAAAATTTAAACTTTTCTCACAATTTTAATTATTTTTCATTGACGATTTTTTATACGCTTTTTTCATGATTCTCAACAATCACGCGCATGGATTTTGAAAAATTTCATTTTTTTAAAAAATGAAAATTTTGAAAAATAAAAAAAATTTGGAAACTAGTTAAAAATTACTTTTTTTATTTTTCACAGTGGAATACGATTTTAGGTTGTGAAAAAATGTCAAAAAAAATGTTACCCCTAAAAATATTCAATTTTATTTTTTTTCGTTTTAATTCCTTAAAAAATTCAACTCCTTCCATAATTTTCGTTATTTTTCATTGCCGAATTTTTTATACGCTTTTTTATGATTCTGAACAATCAATCGCATAGATTTTAAAAAATTTTAGTTCTTACAAAAAATAAATTTTATAAAATGTCAAAAAAATTTTTTTTTCAATTTTAATAATATATATTAATTTTTAAGTCCAAAATTATACCAAAAAAGAAATTGACACCCCTTAACAACAATAATTTTATCGGTGCCTCCCCTTAATAAGTCAGTGTTCTACTAAGATATCAAAGAAAAAAAATCTGATGTATAACCAAAAAATACGTCAAGAAAAAGAAAAAACATTGTTCCCAAAGATGATTCGTCGTCAAAAAAATTGAAAACTAGTAACTCGCAGCGAAAAAGTTCCAAGACTGTAAATAAATCTAAAAAATTAGAAAGCACGAAAACATCGAACATCCCACCAAAAACTATTACCGTTCAAAAACTTTTGTAAATGATATTTGTTTAATTTATTGCATTTTAAAAACATTTTATAAAATAAAAACTATTCAACAAAATTACTAATTATTTACGTCATTTTTATAATTATAAATATTTAATAAACATGCTTTAATAAATAAATAAATATATAAATATGTTTGTAAATAGTATGCCACTATTTTGACACTTTTTTAAACATTTTATGCCACTTTTGCCACTTCTTTAAACATTTTATGCCACTTTTTTCAACATTTTATGCCACTTTTGCCACTTTTTTCACTGCGGAAGTGAGTCCGAGGCCAGATGTTGTCATATTAAATTATTTTATATTATATTTATAGTCAGTGAATCAGATATCAAAAAGCAAATAGACAGTGGTGCCAGAGTAAAATTGCCGTCACAGAAAGTGTTGGACAATTTGAATGTAGTGCACGACGAAGAACTTAAAGATTCGTCTGCAGCTAAAGTAAGTCATACGAATTTAATGAGGCCGATCCCCTCAACATAACCTCAAACTTAAAAATAGTTTTTAAAAAAACTAAAAATATACTTAAAATTGATTCTGCCTAACTTTAAAAGATCCAGTTATACAATTTTCAGAAAAAATTATTTTGAGTTTTTGTTGTTAAACAATGGTTAATTATCATTTTGTGTTTTTTCTTAAAAATTACCTATAAATCGTAATTTTTAACCAATTTTTATAAACAATATCTCATTTTACTCTCTGAAAGATTCTCTACAATTCTGTTTGTTAAATTTTGTTTAAAAAAATTTTGTTCAAAATTTATAAATAAAGAAATTTTTATTTTTTAATAACTTTTGAGCAAAATATTTTCAATCAAATGCAACGAACAAAATGGTAGAGAATCTTTCAGAGAATAAAATAAGTTATTGTTTATAAAAATTGGATAAAAATTACGATCCATCCCGGTAAGAGAACGGGGATAGAATATAATGAATTATTTTCGAGTTGCAATGCAAGCGCAACAATTTTTAATCCCATTCAATTCCTGATTTTAAATATTTTTCCAATTCGCTCAGGAGAATAAATTTGCTGAAAATATGAATTATATCCAATTCACATAACGCATTCGTCTTTAATTCCGCTCAATACCGGCTAAGAATTCTTAAAATATAAAGGCTTCAATCCTACTGAGAGTAGTCAATAATAGTTTTCATTAATTCCGTCCAAATCCTTTAACAGCATGTGACCCATACGCGAGTTTCAATAAGTATTTTGTCGCACACTTTTTTCTGCAAATATTGAACGAATTTAACTGAAATTTTTTGTAAAAGTTTTAAATTATGTTGAGGAAGGGCTGTTATGTGTGAAACTACTGATATTTGTTGAAATAATCATTAATATTAATAAAGTATTAAAAAAATCGGACTTTGATGTTACTCCTAACCTCAAATTTTCCATCAGTTGATGAACGTTTTATTACAATTATTTCATCAAATATCAATAGTATCGCACATAACAGCCCTTCTATATTATATTTTAGACTTCCATACAAAATTTTAGCTAAATCCGTTCAGTATTTTAAGAGAAAATTGGGCGACAAAATACACGTAATTTAAGGGTCACATGGTGTTAAAAGGAACATGCTTTACGGTGCTCCTTAACACCATGTAATCCTTAGATTATGTGTATTTTGTCGTACTATTTTCTGAACGGATTTGGCTAAAATTTTGTATGGAAGTCTTAAATATAATAAAGAAGGGCTGTTATGTGCGATACTGTTGATATTTGTTGAAATAATTCTAATAAAACATTCATAAACTGATGGAAAATTTGATGTTAGGAGTGACGTCAAAGTCCGATTTTTCTATTATTTTATGAATATTAATGATTATTTCAACAAATATCAGCAGTTTCACACATAACAGACCTTCCTCAACATAATTTAAAACTTTTACAAAAAATTTCAGTTAAATTCGTTCAATATTTGCAGAAAAAAGTGTGCGACAAAATACTTATTGAAACTCGCGTAGGGATCACATGCTGTTAATAATAAATTAATTAAAAATGGTCTGTTTCTTAAGAAAAAATTTTAATTATTTCAAATTCTAAATCTTGAAATTCTAATAATTATGGGCATATAAGTTTTATTGAAAAAAACTTACAATTTAAAAAATGGCAGCTTATCTCGTAAATAATAAGAGATATTGCAAAACTAACATCAATTTTGGGTTTTGGTAGCAAGGAATATAAAAGGAACATATAAATCTTGAAAAATAAATATAATATTAAAATATAAATTGTAAATTATTTAAACAATAAAACAACTAATAATGCTTGAGTATTGAGTAGTCGGAATTAAAGTGAATAGGATTTCGAGTTTAGCTATGTTTCCCAGCGGGAATAAATTTAGTTTTAAAATCAGGAATTCGATCGTATTCACATTTTCTATTCAATTCAATCCCCGCCTTCTTACCGGGATAGGTAACTTTTAAGTAACAATACAAAAAGTTAATTAATTATTATTTAATAACAAATTTGAACTAAAAATAATTTTTTCTGAAAATTGTACAACAGGATCTATTAAAATTAGGGTAATTAATTTAAATTTAAAAATTTAATCTAAAAAGTTTTTAAAAACCTGCAGAAACTGCGACTTGATGCAGTCGAAGCAACAAAGCAAAACATCATGAAGAAGTCGAAGGAGAGACTTTTGTTGGAAGAAAGGAAAGAACTCGTTCACTCTGACACCAGTGACGAGACGGATGATGAAGGAGATCATTCAAATGAAAAGGAAAACACTGAGCCAGAAAATAGAACTACTTCCCCTCCTGTATCACCGTTAAGGTCCGCATCTGGAAGTGGTTTTAACAGTAATGGTAATGCGGAGCAGTCTGAACATTCTGAAAATCGAGAAAATCACAGTCGCGCGGATCCGAAAAATGGAGGAGTGCCTCACCTTCAAACAAATTCGGGAAAGCCTGGTACACAACCGGCTGGCAGACGGGAAAATGCGAATGAAACGAGAACTGTAACTACATTGAAGAAATATGATCGAATCAACGACGAGGTAATATTTAAATTTATGAAATAAATTAAACCTAATTAATTAAATTTAATTAAATATTATTAAATATTTCTGAAGTGCCAAAAATCGCTCTTGTGACTACAAAATAATTTACAAATTTCCAAATTAACAAATTGAATATTATAAATTGAGTTCTTTACCTTTTCAGCAAAGCACATTTTAGATTTAAATTATCACTTTCTAAAACTAAATCAGTAAAAATCTGCTGGTTTTTCTGTGGGTATTTTTTTGTGATTTCAATGGATGAAATTTGATTGGAAATCAGTGAAAAATAACTGATTTTCACTCTTTTTTTCATTTTCAAACTGACTTTTTAATCATTTTCCACCGATTGACCAGTTAAAAAATAACTAAGTTTTTCAATTATATTATTGAAAATTTCAATCATTTTTAACTATCAAATTAGTGGAAATTTACTGAAATTTCAATCACTTTTCACTGATTTACAATCAGATTTCTTTGATTGAAATCGTGAGAAAATAGCAGCACTGAAAAAATACTAGATTTTCACTGATTCCGTTTTAGAGAACACCTTAAATTTTCCTTCAAAACTCAAAAATACAATCAGACTAACTTTTACATAAAATTGTTTGACTGATTCTTCTGTAAAAAGGAATTGGACACTTGATCGAAAAACAGATCAGGTCCAACTCCACATTGTGATATTTTATAAATGCAATATAATTTAAATTACTAGGCATTTCGCGAAATGCCTGGACTTTGAATATTACCAGTAATTGATACACATAAACTCAAAATATATTACGATAATTTTATTCTTGGTCAGGGAATTTTAGGAAGAATGGTCTGGAAAAACCTGAAAATGTAAGGAAATTTTGAATTTGTAGCAACCCTGAATAAATTAATTATTCAAAAATTTAAGCCAATTTAAAAATCAATTATTCCGAATATTAGTAAATTAAAAATTCAATTATTACACATTCCAAAGGAATGAAATTTCAATTATTTAAAACTGTCATAAATTATAAATTCAATTGCTGCAGATTCACAAAAAATAAAAATTAAATTATTTTAAATTTTAATCAATTATAAATTCAATTATTGACGATTCCAATCAACTGAAAATTAATTTATTCCAAAATTTAATCAATTATAAATTTAATTATTCCACATTCCAATCAATTAAAAATTCAATTCTTCCCCCTTTTTCCCCTTTTTTATGAATATTTCCCCTTTTTCTTCTATTTCTTACTCATTTCCCCTATTTTTTACTCATTTACCCTATTTTATGTTCAAACTCGAATAGTGGGGCTGATTTATTGAGCACAAAAATTTTTAATGTTGAATCTAATTTTACAAAAAAGATAGATTTATATAAATAGCATTTTTTACGTAAATTTTGTTGTTATTATCTTCAGATATAACAAATCTTAATATTTAGAGAAAAAAATATTATTAAGTTGTTTTTAATTATCATATAAAAGTCATCGACACAATAACTAAAATTTTCTTGTGTTTTCTAAAAATTGTTAAATTCATTAAAAGAATAAGAGTAAAAAGAAATAATTTTGTTAATATTAATATTTAGAAATGCTTTTTTCGCTATTTCATAAAAATTTAAATTACATACACACTTTTTAAATATTAAATGTTTTTTCACGTTTATAGTTTTCTTTTTAACTATAATTTCCTACAAAATCTGTATTACTTATGAGATTTAACGTCAATTTTTTAACCAAAAAGTTAGAAAAATTTTAAAAAAATTTTTAACAAAAAATTCATCATTAAAGTTTAAACAAATTTAATTTGTGTAGTTTTTTTGAAAAATCTGAATAAAATCAAGTTTTGTATACTTTACAAGACAGTTTTTAGTTTCATAAAATTAAAAAAGTCGCATTTTTCAAGAAAAAAATTACATGTTAGTTTAGAAGTAAGTTTAACTCCCATTTGGAAATATTTCCATAAAAATTCCATAAATGACTTCTTGAAACCTTTCCACATGGGTTCTGTAGAAAATTACTTCAAAAATAAGCTCTAAAAAATGAAAAGCATTTATTTTAGATGTGTGCAATTCAAATCTTTATAAAAAATTGAAAATTACATATAAAAAAATTTAATTATAACATTCGGAAAACTTCTTCTTTTAAGTCTCACTCTTCATTATAATTTTATCATCTTTCAAAAAATTTAGAGAAAAAAATTTTTGTTTCTAAACTTTCTGAGTTTAAAGAATTTTATTTTTCATCAAAAAATGTGTGATCTCATAATATTCTGACTAGGAGTATAATTTAAAACAACTTTAAATCACTTTGATGTAAGAAAATATACATTTAGATTTTCCCTTATTTTTCCCCTTTTTTAAATCAAAATTTCCCCTGTTCCCCTTTTTTGAGCATATTTTACCCTGTGAACCCTGTGAGGGACGATTCCAAGTACCATGGTAAATCATGGTATCAGGGCTGCTCGGATCTTTATGTTTATTATGAAATCTGTAAAAAAAATTCCATTTTTTTAAATTTACAAAGTTGTATAAACCCTCAATGTATACCTCTCTTTTTAGTTTGTTATTATTTAAAATAATTATTGCAGTGCATTATTATTAATTTGACAAAAAAACAGTCAAGTGTTCGACTACCGGTACTGTCCAACATTGCTTGCACTTGTCCTATTTAATTAATATAATTTTGTTTCTTTTTAAAAAGATTTACCTCGGCAGGGGAATTTTGCTCAACATTTACGAATGGGATTACATAAAAGATTTATATCAACCAGGACCATTCGTGATTGCATTAGCGGAGGCGATCTGGAAAGACGGCATGAAGGATATGTGCCTTAACCTCAAAAAGGCAAAACCCAGAAGTGATGGGCAAGTGCGGAAGGCAATTTCCAAAAGGAAAATCTTGGCAATGGAAGGTACTTATTCATTTCTTAATATCCCCTCGTCGTGATATTTTTGCCCTGCTTTTTCCATTTCTTTACATGTAGCGTGATATTTTGATAATACCCCCACCCCTAAAGTTTGTGGACGATCCCTTATGTTAGGTAACATTTTTATTTCAGAACTCTATCGAGATAAAATCTCCACAGAGAAAAACCGTTATAGTTCAAGAATTAACAACCAGGTTAAAATTGTCAAAACGACACTAACTCATGCGATAAATGACAGGAATAAAAAGAAAAAAGAGAAACAAGAGGAACCATACGATTCATCGGCCTCTACAGATTAAAAGAAAAATGAAAAAAACGGTATTTCTCTTTTAATTTTAATATTAAATTTTTATTATATTTATAACTTCAGTGTTGTCGACAGTTAAGACAAAACAATATTTCCTCAAAATCTTGGCTAGTCTCAATAAGTTTCGAGTCTTGCGACAACACTACTTTTTTTGTTTTAAATTCGTTGTAAACGTTTATTATTCGTTCGTTTTTAATATTAATGTCAGTATTAATATACGCTACACCAAATATAACCCGGCGAGTTCAAGTTTCTACTTTGTAACACCGAGCGTAAGGCAGGATATTTTTTACCTGGTAAGAAATTTCTATTTACATGTTAAAAAGAACTGGGAATCGTGAAACTTTTTCGTATATTGGCTAACAATGTCATATATTAATTTTTTCATTCAAATATTTCATCCCGTTAAGCAATTTATTATTGATTATCTATAACACTTTCAAATACAACTGGAAATTAGCATATCGTCAGTTGGATGCAGAAACATGCTACTTCAGACTAGTCTTGAAAAACGTGCCGTGTTTCAAAAAAGATTTGGAATACATGCCAATCCAGAAATGATGATTTTTTGTTTTTTATTTAAGTTGACATTATTGAAGATTTTAATTATGTTATAAATCTTTGTAAATTAATAAAAAAAAGTATCCTTCAAATAATGTAAACTTAAAAAGTCTATTTAAAAAATTGTTCAAAATATGACTTTTTCAAAAAAAATAATCATGGAAAATACATCTTGAAAAGTCATTTTTGTAAAACTTTATAACCTTCAGTACTGTCAACTTAAATAAAAAACAAAAGAAACTCATTTCTGAATTGGCATGTTTTCCAAATCTTTTTTGAAACGGCACGTTTTTCAAGATTAGTCTAAAGTGTCACGTTTCTGCAGCTAACCGACGATATTACACAGGATACTTTATTTTATATTTAGTTTTATTTATATATTTATTATATATATTTATTATTTTTATTTATTTTATTTTATTATTTATTTCATTTTTTTACCCTGCCTTACGGGATAAACTAAAAATAAAGTACAAAGTACACAACCTATACGGCATATCGAATATGCGTTAACGTTAACGACGTGTTAACGACTGTACACAATTAAATATGGAATTTTATTTAAAAACTTAATTCTATAAACGAATTCATTTTAATTTAGGCAGATTTAGCATGATCAAGACTGAAAATCACGTTTGCTGTGAAAATAATGTTTTTTAAAAAACTTTAGACGACTGTTATTGTTTTATTTGGCTGAAAATTTTTTGTTATAAAGTTATAAGGATTATAAGTGTATAAGTCGGAAAATTTATTGATTTAAAATTTAAATAAAAATATGTAAACTAACTTTTTCAGTGAAAAGTGCTGGAAGTTTTCTGAAATTTTCTGGCAATGGTTATCGCCTTATATGTAACGGTACAGATCGGTTTAAATGGTGTGAAATTGGTATAAACACTTTTTGATCACTTTTTCTCAAATGACTGACACTTTTCACAAAATTGACAAACTGACCAAGAATCATTTTTTTTTAAATAACCTAATCACTGCCGTCACTTGTAAGGCAATTTCTTTTATAATTTAAATAACTAACAAGAATGATTAAAAAAGTATTAATATTATTATAGAAATGTTAAATTCTATAATGGAATACAAAAAAGTATTAAACATAATTAATAAGAAGGATTCCAAAGTTATTAATGTTGTGATAGAAATGTTAAATTTTATAACAGAGAATTCTTATTTGATTTTCTTTTTCTTCATGTTATATTATTTCTTGTATAACGTGAAAGATTTAAATTTTAGGAATTTACATATATTAGCTTTCGACTTTCAATAAAATACCTCTTCAGATATCAGAAACAGTCTTTCGATTAACCAAATTTAACGGATAATACAATTTTTTTATAAATACAACATACTGTAAAAAAACCATCATGTTGAACACAGCCCATGAGTGTGACAGAGACAGACTTATGCGAAACGCGTGTTCCCCATGTTCAACATGATGGTTTTCGCACCGTATAAAAATATGTGAACACATGTTGTATTTTAAAAATTATTTACGACCAGTTAGTTTCTGATATCTGAAGAAGTCTTTCATTGAAAGACGAAAGCTAATATATGTTATTATTATAATAAATGTAAAATATCGACCAAAAAGAAAAACATTAAAATTTAAATCTATCGCACTATACATTTTTTTGGTCAATACTAATAACATCCTAAAATTAATTATTACATGTAATATTTAAATAATAAATAAATGTATATCATTTCAATCAAGTATTTTTTATATCATAAAAAATTCTTTTATTAAATTATGTACTGCAGAAATAAGTTAAAATTTAATTCCCAAAACAATTTTTCACTTCCAAAAAGCAGGGTTGCTACAGGTCAATTAAAAATTAGCGAATTTTGGAAAATCTACCAAAAAAATAACTACTTTTTAAAAGCAGTACAAAAAAATATATTTTTTAGATATTTAGTCAGTCTTAAAACTCTTGATAACCGCTTCAATTCTCTAAATTTTGTTTAACTTTGAAAACCTTGAAATCATCTTGTATTTTAAACCAAAACCTTGAATTCCTAAAATTTTAAGTAAAATAATAATTTCTTTTACAATAAGCTATGTAAATTAATTAAATTTAAAATACAATTTTTTAAAAAGAAATAAATTCTCTACGATTTAAATTAATTGTGTTGAAAACCATTAAATTTGTTTCGCATTTTTTAACGTTTCTAAAAGTAAATAATTTTAGGAGATAAAATATCGAAGCTCTTAATAATAATAAAACTTTAGAATATTTTCATTTTGGAAATTGTTTGAATAATCAAATTATCAAAAAATTTGTTTAACCTACATGAAAAATATAATTTTTTTGAAAAGTTTTTTTTCAAATTTTTTTCAGATTTCATTCACTTGAATTACTTGAATTTGCGAATGTTTAAAATTTTAAAGATTTTTGAAATTATTATTATTATTATTATTATTATTATTATTATTATTATAAACAATTAGCCATCTTAAAGGTAAAAAGGTTAAGGCGCTTGGTGTTTGTCAAGCATTTTAAGTTATTCTTGATCTTATCGACGAAACAATTATTATTGTGGTTTGTAAATAACGAAAATTGTTTGTTTGTAATAATATTAGAAAATAAAATGTTAATTGAATGTATCGAATGCATCGAAGGTATGGCCCACATATTATAAAATAAAAACAGATTTTAATGGCAAAAAGTTTTCAATTTGACATATAAAAAAGCAATTTATAATCTACTTATGAATTAAATTTAACACATAATATAAGATTAACTTTAAACTCGTATGGTAATTTTTAAAATTATAAAATCGAAAAAAAAAATAATTCAAGTTAGTTATATCTACATTCGTAGAGTATAAAATATAAAAAATGAGCCATCTTTCATCTTGTTACCTATATAGCATAGAAGCTTGCGGCAAGCTTACCATGCAAGTTTCCGTGCTATTAGAGCATACTCACAATTACGCAGTGGAATCCAGAAAAATGCTCAAGGTAATTATAAATTTGAATGAATTTTCTCCCAATAAAGGAAAAAATTTTTTCTAAAGGGCTTCAAATTTACTATTTTTACGTATTTTTATGTGTAGATTATGGAAATAATTTAATAAACATGATTGAGTATATTTCTTCAGTCGTTACAACTCTAAAATAAAAAAAATCGGACAAGTGCGAGTTACACTCGCACTGAAATCGAGGGTTCCGTACTCGAAGCGAACTTATTTGGTATAAAAACAAATGTTTAAAAAATATGTGTTGTATGTCAAATAAAATAAGTGATACAAAAAGGAACAATTTTGTAAAATTCAAGAAAATTGTTCCTCTTCGTATCACTTATATTAGTTGTCATACAACACATATTTTTTAAACATTTGTTTTTATACCAAATAAGTTCGCTTCGAGTACGGAACCCTCGATTTCAGTGCGAGTGTAACTCGCACTTGTCCGATTTTTTTTCCATATTTTCACTTTCATATTTTTTGTTATAAATATTTTTATTTCAATTTATTTTTTGTCTCAATTTTTGCATTATTATTTATGAAATCAGAAAATTGTATATTTAAAAACTAATTAGTATTATTAATTTATCAAGTCACATCATTTTCTGTTTAAAAAGTAATTAGTAATTTAGTTTTACGAATTTTTAAATAGTTTTACAATTTTTTGAAAATTGTTTTGTAAACTTAATTTATTAGTCAATTTAAATTATTTTGTAATCGTTTAAACTTTAAAATAATATCACTTAAGATTAAATAACACTTTAATTTTTTGGAATTTCTGGTCAATTTAGTAAAAAAAAATTATTTTTTTGAATTACCTAAAATTCATGATTTTTTCAAGCGGGAAAAAATTCTGGAATTATTCCCTTAAATTATCGAAATTTATTTCAATTTCTTCTTTTCTTAGACTTTCTATTTCCTTAAATTCTAAATTTTCTTTTCATATTCAAAAATTTTTTTATTTTAAAACAATTTACCCTTTAAATTCTCGTTTCCTTTTGAATTCCTAAAAATATTGACTTTTGTTTGAATGTTTTCTGTTACAAATTTTTTTTAAATTTTCGAGTTTATTGTTATTTTAAAAATTTTCATTTTTAAAAATGAAAATTCCACAATTTTTTTTTCCCACAAACTCTTCTTTTATTTTTGGAGTTTTTAAAATTTATTTATCTATTAGGGTGTTTAGTAAGTCGGGGAATTTTTTTCATAAAGTTGTTAGACATTCTATGTTGTCTGTTGTTTATATGTAACAATACAATTTTATTACATTTAAATGTAAATGAAAATAATAACTAGGTATTAGTCATGAATTTCAAGACTGCAATTAAATGTTTTATTAAGTTAAAAACTGAATGTCACTGTAAAACTATAACATTCTCTATTTTAAAAAGGTACTTTAAAAAATCGAAATGTTTCAAATTACATATTCCATATTTGTTTTTATAAATACAAAAACATAATATTTTTTCGTGGCTACTTCCGCCTATTTTTTTACCTTCAAAGCTATTTTTTACTGCTTTCTTTTAACCAACTAAGGAGTGCGGAGCTTGAATAATCATATTTCGAAAATGTTATTTTTTTGCGAAATTTAGCTTCTGTGAAGTTGTTTTAATAAATTTATTTATGCATGAAATAAGCCATCGAGAACAAGAATTGTATCATTTTTAGAAATGTGTATAATAACGATATATGGAAGAAAGTTTGAGTACTTAAAAATTTGTGTGAGTAAACAATTTTTTAGATTAAATTTTTTGGAAAAAAAATGTAATATATAGTATTATATTTTTTCTTTTTAACACTTGTATTTAGCAAGAGAATTAAATAAAAAAAATGAGCTTCTAAGTGTATCTGAAAGAGTAACACAAACCTACAAATTTTAATCTGTCTACATTTGTCAGTAAAGTGCTATTATTCATTCACCTTTTGAAACGTTTCTGGTTTGTTCCAATTCGTTTTTTGACTGAAACATAAAAATTTTAATATAATTCTTTGCATAAAATGTTTTTCCGATTGACAATATGAATTCAGTTTTTCAAACTTTAAAATGCCGTATTCAATTTTTTGGAGCAATTTTTTTTAAATTGTTAAGTTTTTATGAAACGAGGTATCTGGTGGTTTTTGGGACCTTTGATTACTAATTTGCAATCATTTTTTCAAAATTCCAAAAGGCGAGTACAATATAGATGATACCAAAAGTTTCCAAATAATCAGTTATCGACCAATTATTTTATCATTTTATTTTTTTTATAATTATTTCGGAAATGACAACTCCTGTTTATGAGTCTAAAAACTTTTTAAACTTTGTAGTCTTGTGTTATTTAGACAAAAAGTAATTATTTTCTTAATATTTTCAAAAATGTGTGAATGTAGGCACTGATAAAACAGAACGCAGAAGAAGCCGGAATGACACAAAGTTCTTTGATAAGCTCGAAGAAATCGTTGAATAGGAATGGAAGAAAATCAATTACTACTATTTTAAGGTTAATACCTCAGTAAAAAGCGAGAAATTTAAAAAATTGAAAATTCGTATTTTTGCTGAGAATAAAATTAATTAATAAATCGTTTTGTATTCTATTTCTATCAAATTACTTTGTATTCTCTGTTGTTGCAAAGCCTTGCCTAAAATTGAATTTCAATCTATTCCATTTAAATACTTTGCTAACCTTTTTTTTGCATAAAAGTTAAATATCTGTATCATTCATGTAACTGGGAATAAATTGTTTAATTCTGCAATGAAAACCCAAGGTTCAATTTGTAGAATCAACCATTTTTTTCTGCATGAAATTGAAAAAAAATTTAATTTATTTTAAAATGTTATTTAAATAGATACAAAAGATTTGGACACAAAGTAGATTTAGAAGAAATA